CGTACGCGCAGAGACCTGCACCCCCAGACCTCCCACGCCCAGCGTACCACTCACGAAGCTGCTGAACCGACGGGGTCTCACTGGAGCGCGGCTGATGCTGACGCTGGCTACCACCAGCGCCTCCACGCTGCGCGGCTGCACCTCGACCAGCACCTCCGCCGCCACCTCCACCACCGCTGCCGCTGCCTCCACCACCTCCGCCGCTGCCTCCACCACCTCCACTGCTGCCACTGAAGCCCCCACTACCTGTGCCACCCCCACCTCCACCGCCACCCCCTCCTCCTCCGCCACCACTACCCCGGCCGCCCCCTCCACCACCTCTGCTCCCCTTGCCCTTGCTGTTGCGGCGCCTCCCACTCGGAGCAGACGCAGCCCCGACCTCCTCAGTGCCAACGAGGTCGACAGCAGCAGCAGAAGCAACAGAGGGGAGAAGGGGGACAGGGGAACACCCCTCAAAGAAAGGGGTGCGACGGTCGCCGCGAGAAGCACCTACAGCTAAGATACTCGTCTCAGCTGCAGTAAGGCGCTCCTCTAGCAGGTCGACAGTCAGCTCGGTGGGCCAAAGGGAGAGGAAGCGATCCCTGACTGAGGAAAGTGAGTCAAGGAGGCGGGTGACTAGGTAGTAAAGGGTGATGTACATGGGGGGGGGGTTCTTGGCACAGAACTCAGTGGGAAGGGCAGCACGGTAGCGGGCGTCACTAGCGCGAAGGCGAGCAACTAGGTCAGCGACAGTGGCAAAGGCAGCAAGGTCAGGGAAAAGGTACGGCAGCATGAGGCGGCTGAGGGCAGCAGTGGCAGGGGAGGAGTAGCGTGCAACTACAGCGTCGTACAAAGACTGAGCAGTCTTGTACTGGCCAAAGTGTGCGCGCTCAGCAGGCGGCAGGTGACTACGAACAGCAAGACGAGCAATAGCGTCACGAGTGGTCCACTAAGAGCGAACAGTACTGTCAGCAGTGGCAGCAGGAGCATTGGAAACACCGGACGTGTGATCGAAACAGCTGTAGATCGTCAACCCACACGTCAAAGCCAACTGCACGTCCCTCAGCATCAAAGGTGAGAACGGTAGGACTAGCCATAGTAGCAGTAGGAGTAGCAGCAGTGCAAAGCAGTGGTAGGAGCAGTAGCAGCAGTAGAAGCAGTAGCAGCAGTCGAAGCAGTAGGAGCAGTGCTGCTCGGCAGAGCGGCGCGGCTTGGCTGGGCGGCGCGGCTCGGCTGGGCGGCGCGGCTCGGCTACTGGCGGCGCGGCAGCAGGGGGGGGGGGGGGGGGGGGGGGGGGGGGGGAGCACGAGTGCTTACCAGGGGCCGCTGTTGGGGCGGCAGCTGGGCAGGGCCAGGTCGACGGGCGGCGGGTCAGCGACGGGCGGCAGGTCGGCGACTGGCGGCTGGACAGGGACGGGCGGCAGGTCGGCGACGGGCGGCTGGTCAGGGACGGGCGGCAGGTCGGCGACGGGCGGCTGGTCAGGGACGGGCGGCAGGTCGACGACGGGCGGCTGGTCAGGGACGGGCGGTTGATCAGGGACGGGCGGCGGGTCGGCGACGGGCGGCTGGTCAGGGGCGGGCGGCAGGTCGGCGACGGGCTGCTGGTCAGCGAAGGGGCCGCGACGGGGCCGTGAAGGGGCCGCGACAGGCCGTGAAGGGGCCGCGACGGGCCGTGAAGGGGCCGCGACGGGCCGCGAAGGGGCCGCTACGGGCCGCAAAGGGGCCGTCACGGGCCGCGGAGGGGCCGCTACGGGCCGGACAGGGGCTGCGACGGGCCGCGAAGGGGCCGCTACGGGCCGGAAAGGGGCCGCTACGGGCCGGAATGGGGCCGCTACGAGCCGCGAAGGGGCCACTACGGGCCGCAAAGGGGCAGCTACGGGTCGCGAAGGGGCCGCGACGGGCCGTGAAGGGGCCGCGACGGGCCGTGAAGGGGCCGCGACGGGCCGCGAAGGGGCCGCTACGGGCCGCAAAGGGGCCGCGACGGGCCGCAACGGGGGGCACTACGGGCCGCTAAGGGGCCGCTACGGGCCGCAAAAGGGGCCTCTACGGGCCGTGAAGGGTCCTCTACGGGCCGCAAAGGGGCCTCGAAGGGCAGGCGCGACGCGCGCGTCGGGCAGGTAAGGAAAAAAAAAAAAAAAAAAATCAGTGGTGGGCCCTTAGGAAAAAGTTCGAACTAGCTCTATACCATGTGAGAGAATTGAGGAATGATTGAACTAGAAACGAGATGGGTACAAGTAGAGAACACAAAAGTGTTGTACCCTCTAAGAACTACCCCACTACAGCCTAAACAGACTATAGCAGATATAAGTTTGACACGACGGGCACTGCTTTCCAAGCCCGTGAGATCCACCTCACGACCACCTCTGGGGGTGGCTTCTTCAAGTTCCCTGTACCAACAGAATCACACAATATATAGTTAGCGCAACAAAAGGGGGGAAAATCATCTACGGTAAGATAGGGACTCACATATCTACCATACCTGCTCTGGTTAGCTGTTCTTGGCCTTCTTCCTGAAACCACTTCTGATACTGCTGGCGGACGCTCGCCTTAAAGCTCTTGTTTGATGGAGACGTCGAGGGGCTGTACCTCCGCCGTGCAGCCAGACGGGATGATCGCCGGCACGCAGTTGAGCTCGCGAAACTTCTCCTTAACGGCCTCAGTGAGGTGACCGCGGTACGAGTCCAGTACGACCATCGAGCTCCGCGCATGCCTCCTGAACCCAGGCTTTAGAAAAGGCTTGACGCACTCCTCAAGCCATTGTATGACGCCGTTGGCGTCCATCCAGCCATTCTCGTGACATGACACGACCACATCTGCATAACAAACAAGCTTCTGTAAGTCTCTTTAAAAACAGGACCGGTGTAAAGCAAACAAACAAGAATCATGACTTACCCAGCGGGAACACCCCTTTCGGCACGGTCTTCCGCTTGAAAAAAACCCACGGCCTCAGCTTCATCCCGTCCGCCGTGCACGCCAACATCACGGTCACGCGCTCCTTCTGGTACCCTGCGCTCCTGATGGGCACCGACCCAACACCGGTTTGATTGACGGTAGTGGTGGCGGGCATCTCCAGCCACAGCGGCGTCTGGTCGGCATTGATAATCGACGTCATCTCAATGCCGCCCTCCCGACGCTTGTCACAGACAAATTGCCATAACTTCTTGCATTGCTCCGCGACATCTGCGGTTGAGCACAATTACGGTTAGTGAGACAAGTGCGTACACATGGCATAGAGAATAAAAATGATTCTTACGGGCGGCGGTTTTTTGGGTGACCTTCGTCTTCATTCGCACGCTGAGATTCCACCGCCGACGGAACCGGTCCGACCACCGTTGGCTCCCTTTCCACTTCACGAGGGGGTAGAGAATCTTCATGAACTCCCGGGACCTTTCCTGCAGGCGGCCGACGGATACCGCGGTTCCCTTGCGTCGCCAGTCGAGCAGTCGCTCATACACCTTAATCTCCATCGGGCGGTACCACGACGCCCTGCCGCGACCGTGCATGCGGCACCTGGCAGAGTGGGCTTCCTTGAGGAAATCAGCGGCACGCTTCCAGTTGGCGAGGCACTTGCGGTGGATGCCACTCTCGCGAGCCAGAGCGCGCACCGACACCGCCACATCCAGCTGCGCGACCCACTTCAACTTCTCGGCGGCAGTATAGGCCTGACGCTTGTGGTCGTTGGGCTTGTGCCAGGGAGAGGGGGGGCGAGAAGCATGGTTCTGTGAAGAAGGGTGAGGTCGCTTTCGATTACGTCAACATCGGGGCCCTGGTCATAATCTGGTTCCGACAGATACTCGTCGAATGCTGATGGGAGCAGGAGCGTGAGCACGGGGTTGTTGTCGATGTGAGGGGCCACCGGACACGGAGGAACAGGAGGAACAGGAGGAGCCGGAGGAGCAGGCGGCGCAGGAGGCGGAGGAGGCGCAGGTGGCTCTGGAGGGTCTGGAGGTATGCGGCTATACCACCCGTCAGTTGTAACACGGTACGCGGGCCTACTAGAAGGTTTTTTCTTGAAGAGAAAATGAGTGCCTGTGAATTCCGCCATGGCTTCCGCAGCCAGGCGGGCGAGAAAAACAAGACTGAATCAAAAACTGCACGCCTGGGTGGGTGTTGAAATGGGAGATTGAAGGGGACCCCTTCTGGTTTGCGGCTCGGGGTCCTCGTCGATGAGAGACGAGTACACCCCTGCCCCAACCCGCAGAGGAGGGTTGGGGGCACCATCCATGCTGCGCTGGCACGGCAGATTCCATCTCGTTCTGGATGGTTCTGCCGAGATGCTCCTGCCTGGCAGCGCATGCCAACCTGATTGGGCCGCACGGCGGGTTTTGCATCAGCGCTGGCAGGTGCGTTGCACCGGGACGGGTTTTGTGCGGTGGGAAATCGAACCGTGGCAAGTTTCGCCGTCATTCCATGCACGACCCCGCGTGCATGGTACAGTGTTGTATTCGCCTTATTCACGGCTTCATAATGATATCCTTTACAGAGAAATTCATTTTTGCCTTTATAAAAGCGCCGGAGCTTATGGCCGTTACTCAATTACAAGCGCCCCCCCCTAAAAAAAAAAAATTATTATAAGCGCATATGCGCTACTATCCGGGGTATTACGGTATGTAGACATATATATGACGAGAACGATGTACTACAATCCATATGAAATGATAACGCTGCCTTCGCAAGTCAGCCTAAGTAGACTTTCACAATTTGTTTCCAACAATATATACATGGGAGGGGACTACGGGTATCATGTTTTTTTCTAGACTTCGGTTGAATATTGTAATCAGCGAAAGTCCAGTAATTCATGTACTGATGTATGAGAAACCAAGGATTAAATTATAATGGAAACAAGTATAATGGAAAGCACGTTAGCTCCAAGCTTAGAACCAGCTCATAAATACCTTCTTACCATGCAACAATGCATGGTAAGAACACCCACTTCAGAAACTACTTCAGAAACTAGACTGCATTAACGAACACCTAAGAGCTTGTGGGACAACGTCAGTAGAAGTATTTAAGTGATGCTCTTAGCCAAGCGTGGGTGCGACAAGCCCATCCGAGTTCCAGATGGAATAGACGAAGTACCACTGGCCGGGGAACATTGGGTTCCTCTGCCACAGATCCACCCGCTTCCCCATCTCCACCACATGACCTGCGGGGCGTAGTAGGCACGCAATTGTGGAATGGGCGGGGGTTAGAAAAAAAATGGGAACACAAAGGCTGTGTCAAGAGTTCGTCAGTGGAGGTGGAGAGATAGAGAGAGGCGTGGAGGGATATGAGTGCTTGTGTGTGTGTGTGTGGTGTGTGGGTGTGAGAGAGAGAGAGAGAGAGAGAGAGAGAGAGAGAGAGAGAGAGAGAGAGAGAGAGAGAGAGAGAGAGAGAGAGAGAGAGGAGGGAGAGGGAGGAGAGAGAGGAGGGAGAGGGAGGAGAGAGAGAGGAAGGAGAGGGAGGAGAGAGAGAGGAAGGAGAGGGAGGAGAGAGAGGAGGGAGATGGAGGAGGAGAGAGGGAGAGAGGACAAGGGTGGCGTGGTACCTGACTGGGTGGTCGTGGAGTAGCTGCTGCGCACGAGCGCCGAGAGGCTGCTGGAGCCGCCCGCCATGATGGGGTCGGTGGTGGCCTTGAGCTCCACCAGCACCACGTCCTCCACCGTCACGCTCACCGCCACCTGCGCGTCTATCAGATCCTGCGAGGACCATGAAGGCAGTGGGGAAAGGGAGAGATGAGCTCCACTGTAACCACTACCGTTATCACTCTTGGACGGCGATCAAGTCCTGGTCGAAAACAAGAAGGGGGGGGGGAAACAAAGGTTAAGACTGCATGGCGGGCATGAACAGTGGCAGTCAGGCAGCGAGTGTGGTCCGTTTCAACCTCACTCCCAGCTCGCCGTCAATCTCGTTACGCTTCGAATCCCGCCAACATCATCCAGCCAAGGCTGTCGGCAGTCATCTACGCGAACCAGAGCTTCTGGCCTTAGAAAGTTCGCGAGCATCCTTTCTTTCCCTACTTTCATGCTCTGTTGCTCCTCTGCATTGGATCTTACACCCCAGCACCGAAGCGTAAGTCCAACCCACAGCAGCTCACCTGAGCGAATCGTTGCTTCTGATCGGCCGTGACGAGCATCGTGCGCGGCTGGTTGGGCGGCAGCAGAATCACCACGGGCGCGAAGATGGCAGTCGCCGACACGGCGTCGCCCGTCGCGATGGCCGCCGAGAAGCCCTCCCAGGCGGCCTGAATCCGCATGATGATGTCCTGCGGCCGCGGATCGCCCAATGACGCCGGTACCGCATTTGCGGCGGCTGCTGCGGCGCCCTGGTCCTGAACCTGGTCGAACCACGCGACCGCCGTGGCGGCTCCAGCAGCTTCGGGGACACCGGCGGCAAGATTCTTGGAAGGTTCGTCGGGTGCGTCCTTGGGCATATCGGAGTTCCAGACCATCCAGCTGACGCCCCAGATGTACTTTCCGTTGCTCGTAACGACCTTCGTCGACGCGCCTTCGACAACGGCGCGAAGCGTGTTCGTTCCCTCGTCGCCCTCCAAGGGAAACTGAGCCACGTCGGCAGAGCCGACCTGCTTCTCCTTGAGGAGATCCCAGAAGAAAATGAACTTGCCGTTGTCGGGTGTAGCAGCCGGCACGAGAGGGGACGGGGAGGTGACATACGTCCCCGTTATAGTCATTCCGTACTTCTTGTATGTTTTGTACTTAAGGTCGTATATGGAGATGCCGTCAGGCTGAAACTCGACGTTGGGGAGTGTCAGGGAAAGACTTTGGAGGAAGGCGGCTTTTTGGAAGGAGGAGAGGAGGAAGAGCGAGGGTCCTTCTGGCGGCATTACGATCGTGCGCGGCGAGAATAGTTTCTTCGCCGCCTTTTCGTAGGCGCCAGCGGCGATTTCCTGCGACGTTTCGCGAAGCAGGTCCATAACCCATCGCGTAACCTTCGACATCTCTGGGTCGCCGAGGCGTTTGGCGACGGCGTCAGCGTGTGTGTGATCGATGTGTGCGACGGGGTCCGCCGAGATAAAACCCTCATCCGCGCCATTGAGCGCGACAACTTGCTCTATTCCGGGGAAAGCTGCTTGGCTGTCGGTCTGCTCCAGCGCCAAACGGCCATGCGGCACAGCCAAGGGACGAGCTTGCGTTGAAGCCACGAGGAGGGTAAGGAGGGTGGCAAAACTCAGCAGACGCACGCGGGACAACGTAATCTCATGGACGCGGGCCATCTCAAAGCGATGTTTCGGCGAAAAACACTCAGGCGTTCATTCACTAGCTTTCTCACCCCTCGACTATCTGTCTTCTGTTGAACTAAAGCAGCTGATACAGAAATGAGCACAATTGTATGTTTCAAGGAACAAAGAGCGGCAAAATGCTGCAGGGAGTCCAGTCTGAAGGCTCACTCCGAGGCAGCATTGTATTGTATGGAGGCGGTGCGCGGATACTCTGTGAGTCGTGCGAAAGGATCGCACGTCGATCAACCCACACATTTCGGCATGCCTCACGAGGCAGCAATGTTCTGACGAAATCCACACGAGGGAAGTGTTGCAGTCGCAATCGCTCTGCGAAGTGCACGTCCAGTGTCGTCACAATTGATTGCGACAAGACTGAATGTCCACGTTCGATGTGCCTGCAACCCCATCGCTCGTAACAGCTGGTTTTTCTCAATGTAATGCATATACAAATCATTACTGCCGAAGCTGCCCTTAGCGAGGACAGCCCCGAACACTTAGCGTCAGTCTTTAGTTCGGCCTTCACTTCAGCCCGAACCACTGCCGAGTCGCTCCGCACCAATCGCGACACATCCAAACCTCGCACGTCACGAGGTTCTCGCCTAGCTAGTTTCCGCCCTATAAATGCTCGCTCTTTTCATTATCTCGTCATTCTGTAATTCATCATTTTTATAAAGTCTTCCGCGCACTTGTTTAGTACAAATCATAACACTTGGTATCAGAGTTACTTTCCTAGCTCACCTCGATTTTTAGAGTGTATTACCCCTCGAGGGGGGGACTGGGAAGGATGCCGTGGTGATAGGAGCAGCGCAGTAGCCGGCCATGAGAACGGGTGGTTGCTCCTAACAGCCATGAATTTTACAGGCGCTCCTGCGGCACCGACGGATCCTTGCCCTCGACGGTCGAGATGGACCGTGGCCTCCCTCCCCCAGGGTGGCGGACAACTTTGGCTGTCGTCGCATTAAATGCGTAGGTAAAATGCGTGCGTTTTCGTCAGCTTCGGAGTCAATTTGTGTGGCAGCTGACGTCGACACGATCGCCGTCAGTGCACGTCCGAATTTGTCGGAGGCAAACGTGGAGCGAGTTGGCGTCTGCATGTGGTCGTCAACTGCACGCGATAAAATCGGAACTGCAGCGTGCGGCAAGTGACGTTGGGGCGTCTTCCCCACGTTGCGTACGAGCTGGTGGACGTCTTCGGCAAGTGACGTGCGGCGTCCCTGTGTGCGAAGATTTCGGAGTAGCAGCATGTGGGAAACGACGGCTGACCGAGCAAGCCAGGCGCATGGTGATTTGCGTCAGAAAAACCGACGGCCAGGAGAGGCGACGTGCGACTGCCCGAAGAAAGCGGGGGTCTACCGTCGTCCAGCCCGGGTGCAGTAGGTGTTGCTGCAGGAGGGTGCGTCATGGGCGTTGTTCGGCAGGAGCGCTGTAGTGTGAGACGGAAGTTGTTCTTCAAACCACCGAAAAGTTCGGAAAAATCCGCCTACGACCAAACTGTTCCGTTAGGGTCCCTTCTGTGCTTGCACCAACAATCGGCGAAAATTTCTGAGCAACAGTGACAGCCGATACTGTACTTCAGGCGTCACAAATTTCTCCGGCCAGAGGAAGTTGTGTCGGAGACGGGGCAGTACACCAATGGCACAACGGTACGGCGCAGCGTCTAGACCCGCGAATTTCGGGGGTTCTACCGGCTACAATACACGGAGTTGTGTCAAATACGGGCCCGGCGAGAGAAACGGGTTTCGACTTCAGGAGGCGAGAAAATGACCTACCAAAAAAGACTTTTTGCTGAGGCCGGGTTTCGCAGCTAAGTGGCGGTAGCAGATCGAGCTCCCTACTGGCCAAAGTCTTACAACGACTCACGTACCTCACACCAGGTGCCTCGAAGGCGTTATAAGTTTTGTTGGCCCTGGACGAAAAAGGTGGGACCATGTGTTTTAGCCCTACGCTGGTTAAAGAGCGCGGGTATTGCGCAAGTTTGACAGCTGGGCGTAAAATAAAAAGTTCAAGTGACACTGTTTCGGCCCCGACAAAAACGGACCATCGGCAACGTTTACCCTGCCGAAAAAGTCGGAGCTGAAGAAATTGTGGCAGTTTGCGGTGGTTCTCCTAATTCAACGGTCTACCCGAGGACGGTGTAGCAACGAAGACGGAGTCCCCGAAGTTGTGGAGTTTTTAAACGCGATAGGCACGGTGGGCAGCGAAGCGGCCGGCTGAGAGTTTGATATGATAAACTCGCTCCGACTACGATAGCGTTCGCGCCTTCATCGAACGTCAAAAAAATCACGGGCAACACGGAGAATACCTCATCCGACAAAAGCGGACGCTGGGTGAACAGCGGCAAGCGAAATTGTCGGGGGATGAAGACAAAAAACTGGAGGGAAAGTTGTAGGTGATCCAACACGTTTCCTGAGTGAAAGGTTGAGCCCGCACAGCACTCCACCATGAATTTCGGGGTCTACTAGGTGGACGCCGGAAGGGTCGGATTTTTCACACATGGAAGCACGGCGAGGGGTGTATTGTCAAACTTATATGCTGCACATTGTGTAGTCTGTAGTGGGGTAGCCCATATAGGGTACAACACAACTCAGGGTTAGTACTTGTACTCATCCTGCGGCTAGCTCATTCCATTCTCATTTGTTATTCTCACATGGAATCAGAGTAGGTTTCTTGGGCCCACCACCTGCTACGCTGCTAGTACCCCCCCCTAGGCCCGTCACGCCCCTTAGGCCCGTCGCGCCACCTCACGGCCCCTAGGCCCCGTCGCTCACGGCCCCTCGGCCCCGTTGCTCACGGCCCCTAGGCCCCGGCCCGTCGCTGCCCCTACCTCGGCCCCTTGGCCCCGTTTGCCTCGTCGCCCCTAGTCGCGCCCCAAGGTCCCGTTGGCCCCGTCGACCCCGTCGCCCCTAGCCGCGCCACTCGGCCCCGTTGGCCCCGTTGCCCCTAGCCACGCCCCTTCGGCCCCGTTGGCCCCGTCGCCCCTAGCCGTGCCACTCGGCCCCGTTGGCCCCGTCGACCCCGTCGCCCCTAGCCGCGCCCCAAGGCCCCGTTGGCCCCGTTGCCCCTAGCCGCGCCCCTTCGGCCTCGTTGGCCCTGTCGCCCCTAGCCGCGCCCCAAGGCCCCGTTGGCCCCGTCGACCCCGTCGCCCCTAGCCGCGCCACTCGGCCCCGTTGGCCCCGTCGCCCCTAGCCGCGCCCCTAGGCCCCGTTGGCCTCGTCGCCCCTAGCCGCGCCCCTTCGGCCCCGTTGGCCCCTTCGCCCCTAGCCGCGCCCCTTCGGCCCCGTTGGCCCCATCGCCCCTAGTCGCGCCCCCCCCTCGGCCCCGTTGGCCCCGTCGCCCCTAGCCGCGCCCCTCGGCCCCGTTGGCCCCGTTGCCACTAGCCGCGCCCCTCGGCCCCGATTGGCCCCGTCGCCCCTAGCCGCGCCCCTCGGCCCCACTGGCCCCGTCGCCCCTAGGAACGCACCTCGGCCCCTAGGCCTCTTTGTCCCCTCGGCCCCGCCCCTCGGCCCCTCGGCCCCTAGGCCTATTGGCCCCTCGGCCCCTCGGCCCTGGCACCCTCTTGTTTGGACCTTCAGCCCCTATGCCCCTTGGCCCCCCCCCTTGACCTCGTGTTTGGCCCCTCGGCCCCGCCTCTTGGCCCCTCAGCCCCTAGTCTCCTCGGCCCCTCGGCCCCTAGGACCCTTGGCCCCTCGGCCCCTCGGCCCCTCCACCCTCGTGTTTGCCCCCCTGGCCCCTTAGCTACTACTGCTACTGCTCCTGCTGCTACTACTGCTACTGCTGCTCCTGAGTCCTGCGCCACTATGGCTTCGCTTAGGGTTCTAGCGTTCGATCAGGAGGGCAGACCGGTTGCATTTGACACGTGGCACGACGATCTGCAACTGTACCTACTGAGCGATAGTAAGGACAGTGTCTCACTGTTTGACCATGTGTCCGGTGCCGCTCCAACCCCTTCCGCCACAGCTGACGGTTCGACTCGTTACCAGTGGCTTTCTCGTGACGCTACTGCCCGCTTAGCCATTCGCAACCACCTGCCCGTGACCAAATGTGCTCACTTGGGAGAGCACAGGACAGCACAGGCCCTGTACGACGCTGTCGTTGCTCGCTACTCCTCCCCTGCCACTGCTGCTCTTGGCAGGCTGCTACTGCCCTACCTGTTCCCTGAGCTGTCGGCTTTTGCCAGAGTAGCGGACCTGGTTACCCACCTGCGCTCTAGCGACGCTCGCTACGGCGCTGCCCTCCCAGTCGAGTTCCTTGAAGGGAACCCGCCCCCGATGTACATCACTCTCTAATTCGTAGTCACTCGCCCCCCTGACTCCCTTCGCTCTGTCAGGGACCACTTTCTCACCCTCGACCCCACCTCCCTCACTGTTGACCTCCTCGAGCAACATCTCCTCGCAGCAGAGACTAGTGCAGTTGCTGTAGGTGCTGCTCGTGGCACTCCGCGCTCACCCTTCTTTGAGGGGTGCTCCCCCTCCCCCCTTTCCCCCTCCTTCGCCTCTGCTGCTGCTGCAGACGTCTCTGTTACTGAGGACGTTGGTGCTGCTTCGACTAGTGCGAAGCGCCGCAACAGCAAGGGCACGGGTGGTCGGGGGGGTGGAGGAGGCAGCGGTGGTGGTGGAGGTGGCAGCGGGAGCGGTGGTGGGGGCAGCGGTAGATGTGGTGGAGGCAGTGGAGGTGGTGGCGGCGGTGGGACTGGTGGCGGCAGTGGGGGCTCTGGTGGCGGCGGTGGAGGCAGCGGAGGGAGTGGCGGCAGTGGAGGCGGTGGGACTGGTGGTGGTAGGTCTGGACCTCAGCGTGGAGGCCCTGGTGGTGGTCGGGGCCAGCAGCAGCAGCGTCGGAGCGAGACCCAGTCGCCCCAGCAGCTCCGTGAGTGGTTAGTTCAGCGTTGGCCGGGTGGGGGTACTGAGAGCTGCCGGTATGTCATTCGCATGGGTGTCCGTGCGGGCCAGACATGTGGGAAGTATCACACTGAGCGCCGCTGCTTTGCCCGCCTAGAC